TTGGTATTACTGTTGTTGGTTGATTGATCTATTTCCTGTATGTTACTGCAGCGTTTCTTTAGACACTTATGTATGTCATCTAAAGTCCCTGTAACTGTGAGATTAGCGAAGAAAGCCTTGTCGACAAACAAGTGTGTGGTTATTGGTCTTCAGAGTACCGGAGAGGCTCGAACCGAAGAGGCTGTAACTAAATATGTGTGTCTCTCCTCTTACTACTTTTGGAAAAAAAAATGAAGTATCCTTTTGTGATTCCGTCTAAGTAATATCTGCTTGAGTGATAGTCTTTCCCCCTTTTACCTTTGCCATAGGGTCTTGAGCTTGATGATTTTGTCTCGGGACCTCGAGAGCTCTTGTTGAAATTTGTGGAAGAGAATTATCCTTTACCCGAGCAGCCTGAACCTTTGTCAGGTAACTTAATTCCCTCTGTAAGATATTTTGCATTTAAATCCACGGTGGCTTTTTATATCCTGTTCATAGTATGCCTCTTTTGAACTTTTACAGAGGATGATAGTGTTAAAGAACTTCACAGGAAGAGACATTCAGCTTCACCTGGTGTTTCAATTAGAGGTAGAGTAAGAAAGATGGCAAAGTGGAAACCAGATACTGATGATGAAAGTGATTTGGAGTCTGAAGGTGGGTTTCCTAGTAAAAACATGTCTTCTGATACCTACTGAACAGACACAATCTTGATGCTTAGGCTGTTGTGACTAAAGTATAAGATGGGAAGTTTTGAATTTAGTTCGTTAAGCCCTGCAAAATGTATCTATAAAGCTGGAAATCTACGTAGCAGCTGATAACTTATCTCGTATATATTACAATAGATCTTTAATATTGGAAATTGCTTTGGTAACACATTATCCTCAGATCTCCTAGTCTCTGTATTTGCATCGTACTGGCCTGTTTCTTCAATAAATCAAATCTTATATCCTCAAGGTGTGTACAGTCTCCTAATTTGTAGTGTGTTCAATGCAGCTGAATCTGCTGACGATTCTAATGATTCTGATGATGAGTTCCAGATATGTCAGATATGCAGTGGGGAAGATGTACTTTGCTTTAACTTGGATAGCTTGATTTCTGTTACGGTTACGGGATTCTAATAACTTATTTTGTGATGAAACTAGGAAAGGAAGAAGTTGCTCCATTGTTCTGAATGTGACAAGCTATTTCATCCGGACTGTGTGGTTCCTCCAGTTACAGACTTACCATCTGAAGCGTGGATATGCTATTCTTGCAAGGAAAAGACAGAGGAGTACATTCAAGCAAGACGTCTCTACATTGCAGAATTGCAAAAACGGTCTATACACTGGATTAGCAACATGTGTCGTGTATAGAAGTGAAGTATTACATTCTTTTTAAGAATAATTATCCATTTTGTTTATTTTTAGGTATGAAGCAGCGCTGGAACGAAAATCAAAGATCCTAGAGATTATCCGTGCCCTGAATCTTCCAAACAATCCTTTAGATGACATTGTCGATCAGGTATCATCATCTATGTGCGTCTGTTTTGCTCTAATGTATGAAGCAGCTCATTAAACATGAGTCTCCTTTCTTCTTATGGTATAACGCTAGCGGTATCTATGGATCATTTATTCAAGTTTTGGTTTATAGGGGTGCATTGATTGTAGTATGATTCCAAAGGCTTAGTTTTTTGGGTTAAATTAACCTGTGGAAACTTCAGAATGTGCCTAAATTGCTGCTGCTTTTTATGTCTAATGCAAGCTTGGAGGCCCTGACAAAGTTGCAGAAATAACAGGCAGGCGAGGTATGCTTGTAAGAGCATCTAATGGGAAAGGTGTTACATATCAAGCAAGAAACACGTAAGCTTTATAACTCTCTATCGAATTCTTTGGTACTTTATTTTACTCAGCACTAGCAATTTACTTTTCATCCTTGTGCCTCTTGGCTCTAGAAAGGATATCACAATGGAAATGGTCAACATGAACGAGAAACAACTATTTATGGATGGTAAAAAGTTGGTTGCCATTATTTCTGAAGCTGGTTCAGCTGGTGTTTCGTTACAAGCAGATAGAAGGGCAGTAAATCAGGTGTGTATAGTTCATTAGTTCTCTTACTAAATAAGATTTTCTTTCTGCGTATTTCGTATTGTTATGTTGATCCAAGTACATTGTCAAAGATGGTCTTAAAGGATTTCACGTGTCGGCTTTTGGGGGTATTAGTTGATTTGAAATTATTTTTTGTATTTGTCTGCAGAAAAGAAGGGTTCACTTGACTTTAGAGCTTCCCTGGAGTGCTGATCGTGCAATTCAACAATTTGGAAGAACTCACCGGTCGAATCAGACATCTGCTCCTGAATATAGGTTGAATGACAGTATTTGTGTGTTTGATTTTGTATCGGTCCAATTGTAAAAGTACTTACTACCTTTTCAAATTGAAAAGCATGTTGTTGAAGTTGATAAATTCTTTTTTTTTTGGCACTGTCAGGTTACTCTTCACAAATCTCGGTGGGGAACGCCGGTTTGCCTCTATAGTTGCAAAGAGACTAGAAACTCTTGGTGCTTTAACACAGGGAGACCGCAGGAAAGTCATAATCCTCTCTAAGCTATTTTTTAGTTTTGTTGGTCTTTTGGCTTGTTATTGCTTCAACCTTGCCAAGTGTTTTATCTCAAAGTATGGTGTGGTGTATTGCAGGGCTGGGCCCTCCGGGCCTTCTTTGAGTGCCTACAATTATGATAGCAACTTTGGTAAAAAATCCTTGATGGTGATGTATAGAGGAATAATGGAGCAGGTCTTCCTCATTAAACCCTGTGGTCTCTTTAAACTCATTAATTTTGCTTCACCAATATTTAGGAACGATGATAATGGATAATGCGTGAAATTTATTATCGCTTAATTTTCAGGAGAAATTACCTGTTGTTCCTCCTGGATGCTCGGTTGATGAACCCGAAACAATCAAAGAGTTTTTGACCAAAGCAAGGGCTGCTCTTGTTGCGGTTGGAATTGTTAGGGACAGTGTTCTGGGTAAGCTTTTCTCATAAGTTCACTTTTTTCGTGCTAAAGTTTAGTTTTATTTCTAGTAATCTCGTTTTTACTTTACTTCATCAATGATGATACAGCCAATGGGAAAGATGTTGGAAAGTTTTCAGGACGTATTATTGATTCTGACATGCATGATGTTGGACGATTTCTGAATCGCCTATTGGGATTGCCACCTGATATACAGAATAGGTATTATTACGAGTTAAATGGAAATTTACACTTTGCACTATCTAACTTACCTTTCCTTTTTAAAAGCATCTTCCATCCGTTTTAGTGCTGTCTGCTCTTGTACTGTGCAGGTTGTTTGAATTGTTTACTAGTATATTAGACGTTCTTGTACATAATGCTCGGATCGAAGGAAGTTTTGATTCAGGAATTGTGGATATGAAAGCTAATAGTGTTGAGCTGCTGAGCACTCCAAAGGTATATAGCTTCTCTTGCTTGATTAGTGGTTCTTAGTGTGTTTGTGCTACTACTAATATATTGAATTTTTCAGACTGTCCATGTTGATCAAATGTCTGGTGCCTCAACTATGCTCTTTACTTTTACTCTAGATCGTGGTGTTACATGGGAGGTAATTCAATATCTTTCTCTTGGTAAAATTAGTTGTATTGTACTACAACAAATCAAAAGCTTGATTTGATCTGTGTCCTAGTCTGCAAGTTCAATGCTAGATGGGAAGAGAAGGGACGGGCTTGGTTCTGCTAATGATGGCTTTTATGAATCTAAAAGGGAATGGTTAGGAAAACGACACTTCATATTAGCATTTGAGAGGTAAATCATTATCCTCGCTAATCTTTGGATATTTGCTGTCCAAATTGTGGTATTTTCAAACAGACAAATTTAAGAGAACTATCAAAATCTCATTGCTGGGGTTTATGTTGGATTTCCAGTGCGGCTTCCGGGTTGTTTAAGATTGTCCGTCCTGCTGTAGGAGAGTCAATCAGGTATATCTACCGTTGGCAGAACCTTTACATTTCACATTTCTGACTCAAAACTGGTCGTAACTGTTGTTTTATGCTTTCCAGGGAGATGTCTCTTTCAGAGTTGAAAACTAAATACCGAAAACTCTCTTCTCTGGAGAAGGCTCAGACTGGTTGGGAAGACGAGTACGAAGTTTCTTCTAAACAGGTACGCTTTCTCAATAAAAAAATAAAGTTCGGAATACATAGAACCGAAGCAGAGAAGATTAGCACAGAATCATCCTTGCGTGTTAAAGTTTAAGCGTCAAGGATCATAAGTCTTTTTTATTTATGTAGTGTTGTGCATTAAATAAATTTCTATCTGGGTACAGTGTATGCATGGACCCAAATGTAAGCTGGGCGAGTATTGCACTGTTGGGCGAAGAATACAGGAAGTAAACGTTGTTGGTGGCCTCATTCTTCCCATCTGGGGAACGATAGAGAAAGCTCTCTCGAAACAAGTAAGAAAGACCTTTTCAAAATTTCTGAGTCTCTTTCACTGCTGGCATTGGAACTTACACTGTATTTGGATCTTTTGCAGTCCCGGCATAGCCACAAGAGAGTTCGAGTTATACGTATAGAGACTACGACGGACAATCAGCGGATAGTGGGCCTCTCTATACCTAATGCAGCTGTTGAAACTGTATTACAAGGTATTGCAAGCTTTTCTTATGATTAAATCCGACAAGAGATTTAGTATATTTTGAATATTTTGACGATTGTTGATTTATGTCGTTTTGTTTTGTTTTTGCAGATTTAGCATGGGTTCAAGAGGTTGATGATTAAGACCATAACACTAGTTATAACAGTCACCCTCAAAGCTCCACATCCTTGTTCCCATGCCTATTTGTATTTCTTTATTTAAAAGAAAGAGGAAAAAGATACTTGACTTTCATTTTTGTGTATATCACATGACAAATTTGGAAGATACATAGATGTAATATTATTATTTAACAAGATTCATTCCTATGTTTAGTTTTCTTATAGGTGTTTAGAATACACAGAAATAACAAGAACAGTTGTAACCAAAGAAAATAAAAATAAATCACAAACCCATAGTTCTCAAATAAAACAAGAAGAATTTTAGTGTTTCGCAAAACACAACACACATAACTTGTAAATTACACAAATGCCCTCAAATAGTAAAAGAAGCAGGCTTATTACCCGACCAGAAGAATCATCAAGCAACGGTCGTTGTAAGAAAAGCATCAATAAATCCTCTGTTTTTAACAGATAAAAAGGGAATAAAACCTCTGTTTTTAACAGATAAAGGGAGCATTTGCATAGCCATCATGGCAATACAAACCTGGCTGCTGCGTAAACCCTTGCTTCTTGAGTGACTTCCTTGCCCTCGTAACCATTTCTCGGTTTGATATCTCACCGTCTGTCTCCTCCAATATCTTCTGTATCGCATTGCTCATGGCTCCGTAAGCCTCAGTCGGTTTCCCTGCTGGAGTCGCATCCGCAGAGGTCTGATCAGTTTGGCAACCGCTGATGAGTATCCCGCTGTCTGGAAGCGGAACAGAACCTCTGGATCCACCGGCATAAACCTCTTCTTTGCTCCCAACATGTGTCTGCATCGCGGGTTTCACATAGTCTTCATCGTTTAGCTTCCCCTCAAGAAAACCTGAAGCCAACTTTCCAAGCATTCCCATTAGCCCACCTTCTTCTCCATTTCCTGCCTGAAGCTTACCTAAGATCACTTTCATGAACTTCTTCACTTTAGGGCTGGAGTCATCGCCAAAGGCATCAAAAAGACTTGGCCTGATTTTCCCAACTTCGATATTATCATTTCCTGTTTGCTGCTTGAGGATATCGATAAGGGTCTGCAGAGGAAGAGATTTGTCTTTGGCATGAACCCTTTCTCCGTCGTCTAGTTCAATCTCCTTAGTCTGGATGATTTCTTCCGCCTCGGCTTCATCCTTGTTGCTCCCTCCAATGTGAAACCCTCGAGACTCAATGGCGCCTTCCACTTTGCTGCGCAAGAATTTGCGGAAGCCAAACCTTGAAGAAGAAGAAGAAGATTCTTCTTCCTCCTCGTCCTCCTTCTTAGTGCTCTCTCCAATCTGCTCCTTGGCTTCATCGATTAGGCCACCACTGTGGCAAGAATCTGAAATGATTGTCATTCTGCAGCCTTGAGGAACTCGGTCAACAAGATCCCTGAAATCATCATCTGGAAACATTACATCAGCACCAAAGTCAGATACCAAGAATATCAATCTTTTCCAAGTTCCTAACTTTTTCTTTATCAATCTCGAAAACTAACTTTTCCACCAATATTCTTCTTACTCACATCGGATCGGAATCAAATGACAGATCAATCAGAAAAGAAATCTCCGTATGATAAAGAGAGAGCTCACCAGTAATGAGATTCATATCGCAAGGAACAATACACTCGTCGTAGCCAGTGTCATCGTCTTCCCCAGTCTCAGCGGGCAACCTCGTACCGTGTCCACTGTAATGAACGACGAGAACGTCGCCGGAATCAGCAGATCCGACGAGATCCGCAAGCGCACGGCGGATGTTCTTGCCGGTGGGCTGCGTAGAGGATTCATCGGTGTCGATGAGGACGGTGATGTCCTCCTCGGAGAAGCCGTACCGTTCGACGAGACATTTGTGCATACGACGAACATCGTTGACGCAGCCCCGTAACTCCGCCTTGGTTCCTGGGTAATTGATCCCAATAAGCACCGCCTTTTTCGTCATTTGACCTCTGAATCTGATCGCCTTTACCTGTCAGCGATTGGAGAATTTTGCTTCTTCCGACAAAAAGTGATCCTTCCTTCATAATTCATATAAATAAAATTTCCTTTTATTTTTATTTTTTTGGCTAAGGCTATCTGACGTGGCATCGAATTCTATTTGTTTTTTCTATGTTGTTTGACACGTTGTTTACACGATACCACGAATGATCTTTATCACAACTACTAGTCAATTGGCCAATCAAATAAAGGGACTCTTCTTCTTTCTCAATAAAGCCACAGTTTCTTTTTCTCAACCTCAAACTCCAACATATCAATAATTTCCTAAGGTTTTTTATTGAATTAAAAAGCTATAACCAATGGGCTTGACATTCCAATCAAAGTTACAACAACGAACACATCAAATCAAATAAATCTACCACCAAATATACAATGGTCAACAAATAAACGGAGCATTCACAAAACTATCACTGCAATATAGTCCTGGTCGCTGAGAAAAGCCCTGTTTCTTAAGAAGCTTCCTCGCCTTCAAAACAAGCTCTTTGTATGTAATCTTACCCTTTGTCTCCTCAAGTATGATCTGCACAGCATTGGTGAATGCTCCATAGGCCATTTCAGGATGATCCACAGGACTCGCGTCTGCTGAAGTTTGGTCTGTTTGGCAACCGCTTATCAAAATACCGTTATCCTGAAGAGCACCATTGCTTGCACCTGCATAGACCTCTTGCTTCTTCCCCATCGCGGGTTTCACATACTCTTCGTCATCGTTTAGTTTGTACTCAGTAATCTCTTGAGCTAGTTTCCCAATCATTCCCAATATCCCACCTTCACTTTTACCCTCTTGCAGCTTTGTTAGAAGCACTTTCATGAACTTCTTCACCTTTGGGGATGCATCTTCTCCAAACACATTGAAAAGGGTCGGTCTGATTTTCCCCACTTGGATATTATCGTTACCTGTCTCTTGCTTGAGCATATCGATTAGAGTTTGTAGAGGCAGAGATTTGTTTACGACATGGACTTTTGCCCCATCTTCTAGTTCAATCTCTTTAGTCTTGCTTTCTTCTTTCTCATCATCATCTTTGTGGTGAGGAATTTGGATCGCTCGAGTTTCCAATGCTTCTTCCACAGCTTCACGCACGAAGCCTTTGAATCCAAATATTGAAGAGCCTCCCGATTCTTTCTTTGGCTTCTTCTTCTTCGTGCTCTCTCCTATCTGCTCTTTAGCTTCGTCGATGAGGCCACCACTGTGACAAGAGTCCGAGATGATTGTAATGTGTGCGTCCTTTGGTACCTTCTCCACAAGATCTCTGAATTCATCATCTGCCAGTAGAGTCAACAAAATAAAGAACAGTTGATGTTTTAAACCAGATAAAAACATTATTCTCCTGATATTTCAGTATACAATCGATCAACTTGGTAAACAATAAACAAAAACAGAACAATAAAAAAAAGAAAAAAAAAAAAGGGCCAACATCAAATATAATAGTTTTCACATACCGGTGATAAGATTCATATCACAAGGAACAATACACTCATCATAACCAGTATCATCATCTTCTCCGGTCTCTGCAGGCAACCTCGTACCGTGTCCACTGTAATGGACGACAAGAACATCTCCGGATTTGGCCGATTCAACTAGATTCAACAACGCCTTTCGAATATTCTTCCCGGTAGGTTTGGTGGAGGACTTGTCAGTGTCGATCAGCTCAGTGATGTTTCTCTCGGAGAATCCGAACCGATCGACGAGACATTTGTGCACCCTCCGAACATCGTTGACGCAACCCCGTAGCTCCGCCTTGGTTCCAGGGTAATTGATCCCAATCAACACAGCTTTCTTCGTCATTTTTTATGATACTTCAAATGTCCTGCGTTACAATTTTTGTTTTTTTGTTTTGATCGTGAGCTGTTACATTTGGTCCTTCATGCTTTTATTTATACTAAACAAGCCTTGATAAGGTTGCCAGAAATATTATATATTTTTTTTGTTGAATATCCAATATTTTCAATTAGTCATAATTTTATTAATTCAATTAAAGGAGCCTTTAATAAGGTTGCCAAAAAGACAAATATTGAGCCTCTAATAAATTATTTATTTTGTTAACTAAAGTAGATTTTTTTTTTTTTTAATTAGTCATCATCTCCTTTCCATATACACTAGTATTATGTTTGAATAATTTTCATTATTTTTTTTTGTTGAAGATGTTTGAATAACTTACTAGTCTTAATAGTTTGGTGAAATGAATCATTTATATAATAAGATAATCAAGGAAAATATAGCCGTTTAAAGAAGAGAAACGTTTATGGCTTGTCCTTTCTGCCTACAAAAGCTAAAACGTACAAAACTTGTATAGATTGTGAACAGAAATAATATGTCAATAATTTTACGCATCGCATAACCAAATAATTTACGCAAATGTCGCTTGTTATATTGTTTATAGCATCCACTCCTGAAGGCACAAGCAATCCCACGTTATTATATAGTATAATCTTTTACATATGTTAAGTTGATTACAAAATTATCATCACATGCTTAGCACGTCGCTTTTTTGGTTGCCCAAACATATTTCATATTTGTATGGGAAATTATGGTTTTGTTTCTTGTACATCAAGGTAGGTTTCAAAAAACTCAAGAGAATATATGTCAAAAATAGAACTTCATCAAATGTCTGAGTGTTGACACTCAGACGCAGCTTTGTGATCTTTTGTGATCCAGTTTTTTTGGGTGGCTTGATGTGTTACCTCAGTGGTTTCCAAAAATATATATATATATATATATATATATATGAAAGCTTCATATGCGATGAACTAACAACCACACTTGGCATTAAAAAAAATATTCAAATCAATGTCACAATAACACAAATATCATAAAATTTATTCCACACGAAACCAAATCAGCAAACAACAAACCTCCCCAACTTGTGTTATCAACATATAAACTGAGCATTGACGTAGGCATCATTGCAATACAGTCCCGGTCGTTGATCAAATCCCTGTTTCTTAAGAAGCTTCCTAGCCTTCAAAACAAGATCTTTGTTACTAATCTTACCTTTAGTCTCACCAAGTATGATCTGTATAGCATTGGTGAGTGCTCCATAAGCCAATTCAGGGTGACCCGGTGGGCTTGCGTCAGCCGAAGTTTGATCAGTTTGGCAACCACTGATCAGTATACCGTTATCAGGGAATGCACCATTGATAGCGCCTGCGTACACCTCTTGGATAGCTGGTTTCACATCGTCGTTAAGCTTCTGCTCAAGAAACTCTTGAGCTAGATTCTCAATTGATCCCAATATCTCACCTGGACTAGTAGCAATAGTCTCTTGTAGGTTGCTTAGAATCACATTCATGAACTTCTTCACCTTTGGGCTTGAATCTTCTCCAAACATATCGAAAAGGGTTGTCCTGATCTTCCCGACTTCGATATTGTCGTTGCCTGTTTCTTGCTTCAGCATATCAATGAAAGTCTCCAATGGCAGAGATCTGCTTCCCACTTCATTGATCTCTGCTTCTGTCTCCTTGTTGATCGTTGAAGAGTCTCCAGAGTCTCTATTCTTCTTCTTCGTGCTCTCTCCAATCTGCTCTTTGGCTTCATCTATGAGACCGCCACTGTGACAGGAGTCAGAGATGATTGTAATGGGACAATCCTTTGGCACCATGTCCACAAGATCCCTGAAGTCATCATCTGTAAACAGAGTCCCAATTATAAAAATATTTTTAGTCAGATAACAACTTAAGGGTTAGCAAAATCTTAGTCTCTCAGGATACACAATAACCCCCTAACGTTTTCACATAATCCACCTGTATTTTCATTTTTCAACACATAAATATCCAGTTTTTGTGTTAATAACAAAAAAACCCAAAAAGGAAAATTTCCATATTTCTAAGTTCAAAATATTTTCTTTTGTTTGGTAATTTAGAAATATGGTTGACTACGGGTTAAAAACACTTTAGTACCAACATGTTTAAAATGGTGGGTTCATATTAATAAATGTAAACGTGAACAAAACAATTGATCAAATTAGATTGGTAAAGGAAAAGTTCAAATTCGTACGTAACACATGTAAAAATAAAAGTCAACTAGCTAAGCTAGAGTCTATTTTGTTTTTGTTTTCACTAACCGGTGATGAGATTCATGTCAGAAGGAACAATACACTCATCGTAACCAGTATCATCGTCTTCTCCAGTTTCGGCGGGCAACCTAGTCCCGTGTCCACTGTAATGGACGAAGAGAACATCACCCGGTTTAGCCGGTTCAACGAGATCCAACAACGCCTGTCTTATGTTCTTACCGGTCGGTTTGATCGAAGAACTGTCAGTATCAATTAACATTTTGATGTTCTTCTCGGAGAATCCATACCGTTCGACGAGGCTTATATGCATCCTACGGACGTCGTTGACGCAGCCTCGTAGCTCTGCCTTCGTTCCCACGTAGTTGATCCCAATCAATAAAGCTTTCTTGGCCATTGATGATAAATTTCAAACTCTGCTTGACTATATTTTTCTGAGCCTGATATGATTCTTCATGGATTTTATAATCATCTTTTATTATTTAACTAACGAAACCTAGTGTTTTTTTTTTGTGTGTGTATGACTTTTTCTCTGTTGCTAATTTGTTGATCAAAGTTAATTATTACATGGTAGAGTTATCTATATAACCGTTCTCATAATATGTAATAATTGATAGATCTAAAGACGATAAAAAATATCAAAGTTAATTATTACCGTTTTGAATATAAATCATTTATATTTATTTTGGTTGTTACATTCCATGTAATCACGTTTATAAATTTGAGTAACCATCTATCAAATGACCTAACATGGACACTAACCGTCAGATTTAAGTAACAATATAATCTTTAATATCTACAAACTTAGATAGCTCATAAAGAAATATAGATCTAAGACCATCTTTATTGTAAAATTTTTGCACAAATCTTAAGGTCAGATTTCACTTATCTTAAGCAACCTTGCAATAAGAATGGTCTTAACATTTTTGTGCCTAACGAACTAATCATATTTTAAAATACTAAAGAGAAGGAAAATTGTTATTATATATTTACAGTTTACTCCATTGCTTGAGAGCGCAAACAATCTCACGTTATAAGCACGTCGCTAACTCGCTAATCAAATCAGCCAATTATTATGGCTTGATTCCTTCTATCTCAAGTCAACTGGACTAAGTCTCTATGTTTTACTTAGATTCCTTGTATCATAAGTCTGATGGAACTTGCACACAAACTAGTTTTTATCTCATTATCTTCAAAACTGCTTACATTTATTTATTCATTCTAAATAGACAAAAATTATATAAAAAAATTCAACTATCCTTGTTTCAGTGTTAATATATACAGAATTATATATAAAAGATTATAATATTCCAACTAATCAAGCTAGTTATACTTTTCGAACACAAAAATAGTTTTATATTCCTTGCTATATAAAAAGATATCAACATTTTTAAACACCACTTGTTGATGTTCATACTACAACCAAAAAAATAAAAAACACATTGTTCAATTTAATACTAGAGTTTAGTTATTCCATTGATTAAGGTCTATTATTACCAATGACAACTAAGACTACACAGAGAGAATCTTGATACTTAATAATTAGCGAAAATAACACCCATTATCAATGACAACTAATACTACAGAGAGCATGTAGACGATGAAGGCTATCCAAATAATCATACTTCAAAGAAAAAGAAAACAAAAAAAAGTCAAGAATTACTTCATAAGATTTCATACATACTTAACCATGTTCACTAAAATCCACAAACTAATTTTGGGTGAAAGAAGAATCTCGAATCAGTCAACACACCATACTTAGCATATAAACGGAGCATTCACAAAACGGTCATTACAGTACAATCCCGGTCTCTGAGTAAACTTCTGTTTCTTTAGAATCTCTCTCACCCTCAATACCATTTCCTTGTTCGTAATCTTATCTTTATTAGTCTCCGACAAAACCATTTGGACAGCGTTACTAAACGCTCCAAATGCTTCTCCTCTCTTCTTAACATCTGCTGATGTCTCATCTGTTTGACATCCACTCAACAGAATCCCTCGGTCTGGATACAATCCGTTACCTGATCCTCCTCCGTAAATCTCACGATCGCTCTCCACTTGTGCCTGCATTGCGGTTTTCACGTAGTGTTCATCGTTCAGCTTCTCTTCTATATACCTTCGAGCACTTTCTTCGATTTGACAAAGTAACGTACTTTGATCATTACCTTCCCTTAGCTTGGTGAGAATCACTTTCATGAACTTCTTTATCTTCGGGCTCGAATCTTCACCAAAGGCATCGAAAAGGGTCGGTCTGATTTTCCCAATCTCGATACTGTCTTGTCCAGTCTGTTGTTTGAGAAGTGCGATAAACCTCTCCAACGGCAGATACCTTGATTTGACGACTCCATCTCTCTCTCCTACTTCTTCGAGCTCTTGCGTTTCTAGGTGAGAACTTCCAATTCCAAAAAACGCAAGCAATTTCACAAAAACGCCATGCAAACAGTTCCACATCTCGAATCCCAAAGAGGAAACTTGTGGTTCTCGATCTGGCTTCGCCGTGGTACTCTCTCCGATCTGTTCCTTAGCTTCGTCGATGAGTCCGCCGCTGTGACAAGAGTCTGATACGATCGTTATCTGACATCCCTCCGGAACTTGTTCCACTAAATCCCTGAAATCATCATCTGCAACAAAACAACGTCGATATCAACAAAACAATTAAAAATAAAAAAAAGATCCCACTTATTTCTATCAAAACGAGATTGCTCTGCTTTCACACTCTGTTTTTCTTCATACCAAGAAACCATCCCATAAAAATACTAGTTACTGAATCTACTTACCAGGGATTGGGTTTAAGTCGGAAGGAACGATACACTCATCAAAACCTGTATCATCCTCTTCCCCTGTTTCCGGTGGGACTCTTGTACCGTGTCCACTGTAATGAACGAATAACACGTCACCGGATTTTGCTGGCCTTATGAGCTCAGACAAAGCCTGGCGGATGTTCTTTCCGGTGGGTTGAGTGTAAGATTCGTCGGTGTCGATCAGCACCGTGATGTCTTCCTCAGCGAATCCGAACCGCTCAAGGAGGCACTTATGCATCCGACGGACGTCGTTGACGCAGCCTTGTAGCTCCTCCGTGGTGCCTGGATAGTTGATTCCTATCAACAATGCTCTCTTAGCCATTCTTGCAACCTTCAAGACTTCTTTCTTGGATAAAAACTCCCACTGGATCTAAATTGTTCTTCGTCGAGATTTGTGATCAAAACTGTATCATTAAATATAAAAACTCCCACTGGAGTACTAAACATTATTGGGTCAATGTTAGTGGACTAACTTTATGTTTCTCTAAATTTATGACATTGCTGGCACGTGAACATTGTGGACTATTTAATTTTAAAACATTAAACAAAAACGCCGTCTGTGGGGATCGAACCCACGGCCACGTGGTTAAAAGCCACGCGCTCTACCACTGAGCTAAGACGGCTGGACAATAAACCTTTTCGTAATTACTTATTAAAAAGAGTATTAATCACCGTGCGTGTTAAGGTTCTTCTATAATTTAGTCTTTCAAGAAGTAGACTGCAGTCATATATCACATCGCTAACAGGTATACAGATGAGACTGAATAGAAGAACTGCATGTACTTGTAGTAAACTCATCAAGTTTGCAAAAGTACCTAAGTTATGACGTCTCCAACTTATCAAGCTTGGGTTATACACACTTTTTTCGTTCTTCTTGTCATAGCTTATATACACACTTATAGAAAACAGATAATGAACGCTGTCCACTTCAAAATAAATCTTACAAAAAACAATATATAAATCACACAAATACATGTTCAACACCAAATGCTGTAAAAGATAAGTACAAACATGCATGACAGTTATTTTTCAACATATGAATGACGCATTCACGTAACTATCACCACAGTAAAGCCCCGGTCGTTGAGGATATCTTTGTTTCTCAAGGAGCTTCCTGGACTTCAAAACCAGATCTTTGTAACTGATCTTGCCCTTCGTCTCAGCAAGTATGGTATGTATGGAATTAGTGAATGCTCCAAAAGCTTTGTCTTTGGAGCCTACATCTGCAGAAAACTGATCAGTCTGGCACCCACTAAGTAGAATACCGTTGTTCCGAAGCTCCCCATTACATGCCCCTGCGTAGACCTCTTTCTTGTTCCCTACTTGTGTTTCGATCGCGGGTTTTAAAAACTCTTCATCATTCAGCTTCTCCGTCAGAAAGTCTCTTGCTAGCTTCCCAATATTTTCCAACATTAAACCCTCACCAATACTATCTTGCAAGTTGCTGAGGATCACCTTCATGAACTTCTTCACTTTTGGGGATGCATCCTCTCCAAACACATCAAAAAGCGTTGCCCTAATATTCCCCACTTCGATATCATCTTTTCCTGTAGCCCGCTTCAGCATATTGATTGAAGTCTCCAGTGGCAGAAATCTGTTTCTGGCATTATTGATTCCGTTTTCACCATCAGTCTTGGTAGATGTTTCTTTTTTTACTACACCTTTGGAACTAAGAAGACGTCTAAAGGGGCATTTGAATTCTTTCTTGGGCTTCTTTTTAAAGCTCTCTCCTATTTGCTCTTTGGTTGAGTCGATGAGGCCACCACTATGACAAGAGTCAGAGACGAACGTAAAGGAGCAGCCTTTGGGCACCTTATCCACAATTTCCCTGATATCATCATCTGAGAATATATAGCACCAACCATTATGACACTCAACAAATTAGATGAAAATGAAATGAACAAATCTGTGATAAAATGAAATTACCGGTGATGTAATTGTGATCGGAGGGAACAATACACTCGTCAAACTCAGTGTCATCGTCTTCACCGGTCTCCGGCGGCAACCTCGTACCGTGTCCACTGTAATGAACAAAGAGGACGTCACCAGATTTTGCTGAGTCAACCAGATCCGAAAACGCCCGTCGAATGTTCTTGCCAGTAGGTTGGATTTTAGACTTGTCAGTATCAATCAGCTCGGTGATGTTCTCCTCCGAGAATCCAAACAGTTGGACAAGTGATTTGTGCGTCCGCGTAACGTCATTGATACAACCCCGTAGCTCTCCTTCAGTTCCAGGATAATTGATCCCTATCAAGATTGCTTTCTTCACCATTGAATAAACTTCTCTGCTTTTGGGTTGTCAATTGTTTGGACAAGGATGATAAAAGTCTCCGACACTCGGAAACGCCTTTCAATATGATGAGCTGTGTCTGTGAATCATAACCATGGTGTGGCTGCTTTATTTATATCAAGTTTTAAGCACGTGCATGAGTAATTGATTTATTTGTAATTATTGTCACTCAAAATGCTGTCAAAAATATAACATTATTGGGTGCTGTTGTTGGACCATCTCGATAAGTCCCAGGATGATTAATTGATGAATTATCGATATCCTCATTCAAATATTGGTAGCCGCGCTGTAATCGGCGAAAACATGTGGGTGATTAGTTGATCTTTAATTCAAATCTTAAATAATAAATACACCTCTACAAGGCACAAGCTAAAGCTATTATATATTCTTTCTCGAGATGATTTATTGATTGTATAAACTAAAATTCTATGCTGGTGGACAAGTACTCTGGGAAAAAGAAACTCTCAAGACTTTTTAACTTTTAATTTCAAAACTAAAACTAAACTCGCTTTGTTCAAAAAAGAACAAAAAAAAAAAAAACTAAACTCGCCGTCTGTGGGGATCGAACCCACGGCCACGTGGTTAAAAGCCACGCGCTCTACCACTGAGCTAAGACGGCTGAGCAATTGAGTACTCGTAATAAGCGGTAAAAAAAACAAAAACCTAAGCAGGTATCGTTAAAGCCCAGCATGAGGCCTGCTATTGGCCAATTAACAACGACGTCGTTCTAATAACACGACGTATGAGAGAACTATGTAGAAGTATAAACACGCCTGGGGGTTTTCGCCAACATAAGCATTTTCTTTCTTTCGCCCTACCGGAGCTTGTCATCTTCCTTTCTCACCCATAAATCGCCGGAGAAATCGAACTTTAGGTATATAGCCACGGTTGTTTTCTGATATTAGGGCACGAAAATATGCCCTTGTTTATGCCAGACGATGAGCTGGCGCGGCTATCTAGCGACGCCGCGTCGGTGGTTGCCGAGAGAGCCGACGAGTACATACGCAAGATATACGCCGAGTTGGATAGTGTACGTGCTAAGGCTGATGCTGCTTCCATCACAGCGGAGCAGACGTGTTCGCTTCTCGAGCAGAAGTACCTCTCGCTATCTCAGGATTTCTCTTCCCTCGAATCTCAGAACGCCAAGCTTCAGTCTGATTTCGACGATCGTTTAGCTGAGCTTGCCCAGTCTCAAGCGCAGAAGCACCAGCTTCATTTGCAATCGGTGCGTCGAGTGTGTTTTTGTTTGTTTGTTTTTGGAATCCCTAATTGTTAGACTGATCTTTTGGTTTTGATGCAGATTGAGAAGGATGGAGAGGTAGAGAGGGTGACGACGCAGATGTCAGAGCTTCATAAGTCTAAGAGGCAACTGATGGAGTTATTGGAGCAGAAAGATGCCGAGATTAGTGAGAAGAATTCCACTATCAAGAGCTACTTAGATAAAATTGTGAGTGCTCCCCTATTTTGTTACCACTTTTATATTTTTCAACCGTCTAATCCTAATTCTTGTTCCATCTCTCAGGTTAAGCTGACGGACTCTAGTTCAGAGAAGGAGGCCCGACTAGCTGAAGCCAGCGCAGAATTGGCACGCTCCCAGGCTATGTGCAGTCGTCTATCCCAGGTCAGATTATTGTGGCCTGCTTTTGCATTTGGAATTCTATATATATATATATATATATATTATACTTATTATCCTTTTTTAGGCCAAAATAGTTTGTTATCTTGGCAATTCGGATGAGTTATAGTTGATTTACCTTAATTTTTACAGCGTCATGTATTAATATATGATCCTCTTACAATGTTTTTGACATATGGTTTCTCATGGAAACAGGAGAAAGAACTCACGGAAAGGCATGCCAAATGGCTAGATGAGGAGTTGACAGCCAAAGTCGAGAGTTACGCTGAACTCCGTAGAAGGCATTCTGATCTTGAAGCTGAAATGTCAGCAAAGCTTGTAGATGTAAGGCCAATATTCTAGTATATTCCAATACTTCTTTCTATTTACTTTTCTTAAGTGCAGTTCAGTTACTTTAATGTCATTCAATTTTCTTTCAGGTTGAAAAAAATTACAATGAGTGTTCTAGTTCCTTAAATTGGCATAAGGAAAGATTGAGAGAGCTCGAAACAAATATTAGTTCATTACAAGAGGTAATACGGCTCATAATACTTGTCTTCCCATATCTTATCTTGCTCTAGGAGATTTACTTGTTTTTCTTTGTATCTAAAGGACCTCAGCTCTTGCAAGGACGCAGCAACAACCACTGAAGAGCAATACAATGCTGAACTTTGCACTGTGAGTTTTCAAATATTGAAAATTTCAAACATTTAACCTCTTTTCATCATTTCTAGCTTACTGGAGAGCTAATTACATATGTCATATATATGTTATTAAGGCATTTCATAGTTTCCAAAATAAAAATTCATAGGTGTTGTTTTTTCCAATCTAACCCACAAGCTGTTATATAGGCGAACAAGCTTGTTGAGCTGTACAAGGAAAGTTCAGAGGAGTGGTCTAGAAAGGCTGGCGATCTTGAAGGTGTTATTAAGGCCTTAGAGGTAAGTTTGCCATTACTAATCTGAGCATATGGTTCTAACTTTTGTGTTACCATGTCACCCTGTTAAGTTGAAATTATGACTATGCAGGAACGCTTGAGCCAAGTCGAGAGTGGTTACAAAGAGAAACTTGAGAAAGAGGTGTCTACAAAACAGCTGTTAGAGAAGGTATTATGACCCTTAGTAAATTGCTTTATCAATTACACTGAAGGTGTTGTGTGTAGACCCAATTGCTAGTATAATATTTTTATATTCTTTGATTGTTTTCTTTGATTGTTTTCTAAAAGTTATAAGTTGATTCGGCTTTCAGATTTTAAGAGAAGTAAAATTTTCTGTGATCTCAAAAATTTCTTATTTTTGTTTTGAGAATTCTATCTTTGATTTTTTTGCAAAGTGGGTTTCTATGGTTTACCTTTTGGATCTACATGGTATTTCCTCTCTGCATTTTTAAATTTATTTTCTAATGAGATAGTTAATTT